AAAAAAAAACCCCCCTTTCTATGAATTTGATTTCCGACCTATCTTTACTTTACCGTTCAAATTGGAACCAACGAGGAAAGAAAAATGACGACTTCGTATATTTCTACTGCTAAACAAGAGAGCCAGCCTGCAGGACTAACGAACGAAAGCCTACTTGAAAAGTCTGATGAGTACAAGTAATTTAGATTCGATTCGAGGAATCAAATAGAGGCTTGATAATTTACTTTCCCACTGCCACTCCACCTCTCACTCTCACCCTCACACCTTTCGAATCCCTCTTCACCAACGGCATAAACGTATCCCTGCAAAGCTCCACATCCTCCCCATCCGTCTCAAACAGCTCCAAAAACCCATCATCCCCTTCAAACCGCACTTCACTACTCCCGTAAGCTCTAAAGATCCTCGCCACAGCGAGGTAGAGCTCAGCGTAGGCCAGGTTGATGCCGATGCACTGCCTGCTCCCCTTGGAGAAGGCCACCAGGTACTTTTCCAGGTGCGGCTGATGCTCGATCCACCTCTCGGGGAGGAACCGCCGCGACGCAGGAAAGACGGACTCGTCGTGGTGGACCAGGGCGCAGCTCATGCCCACGGGCGTGCCGCGGGGTATGTACCAGTCCTTCTGGCCGTCGTTGAATACTAGGGTTTCATCCGGGGCGATTCTCTGGAGACGCGTCGATACGCCGTAGCTTAGTCGTATGGCTTCTTGGATGCAGCCAGTCAGGTAAGGGAGCTGCTCGAGCGCTACTAGGGTAATCGGTGAGGTGGGAGTGGGAAGCGCGGTTTGGAGCTCTGCTTTTAGCTTCCGCAGCGCTTCTGGCTGGGAGAGAAGGTGGAATACCGCGACGCAGAGGGCCCAGGCGGTGGTGAGCGTACCGGCCACAATAACGACCTGTCCATCTTGGGCGAGACGCGCATTCGATTTCTCACTCTCTGGTAGATCACTGTTGAGGATCTCGTAGAAGATGGTGCGATGGGTAGCATTCTTCGAGTCGTCTCTCTGGCCCGACTTCATCTCTCGGATCTGCGTGCGGATACTCTGGTTCGGACTGTGGTCAGCTAGCTTACGGAGTTCCCGAATCCGCAACCATCGTTGCTAATAAATGAGGCAGACTCACGTGCTCGAGCGAGAAGAAGGACTTCAGGTTTGGATCCATCCAAGTATTGATAGCATCGGGTAAGGATTGCATCAAAGGGAGGAGCCAAGGCCACTGCTTGATGATCGCACCTTGACTACTGCCGGCGACCAAAGCATCGTGGAACGTTGGCTCGAACTCGGGATGCTCAAGTCGATGGTCCGACCGTGCAAAAGCATATTCTTGAGCAATATCTTGGAATTTATTGAGTCAAGATGCCTATGATTAGGGGTGATCAGAGCCGCTTACCATTCGTGTAGGCAGAAAATGCATAGTTCAATGTCACTGGCTCGCCGGAAATCCGAAACTGTTGAAGTCGATGCAGAAGCACTTCGATCCGATCGTCCATGATAGGCTGTAAATTCCGCGCTGCACTCTTGGAGAAGAAGGGCAGAAGAGCAGCTCGTCGGATGCGATGCGAGTCGTGATCGTTGCTAGCAAGCATCGACTGCGGAAGTCCAAACTGGGCTGTAAACCAGTCCCAGCGGTGCCGGCGCTTTCCGGAACCAGCGTAGAGCTTTTCGTAGAAGCTGGGGCTCAGTACATGAAGCTCGTAGGGATTAATGCGAATAATAGGACCGTATTTCTGGTGCAGACGACCGATTTGAAATGTGTACTGCCCGCCCAGAATCACGTCCCAGTAGTACTCGTACCTGGTGTATGATTAGATGATGCTCTGGTGGGATATAGGGAAAGGTTGCTACCAGAAGCTGACTGCCGCCAACTTGGGTCCAGGAAATTTGGCGATTGGGCTGAAATATAAACGGTAAATAGCCTGAGCGATGATATATGATACCCAAGTCCATAGTAACGCCTTGAGGGCGTGATGCAGCGCTACATTGGAAAGAGAGTCCATGTTGGAGGGATGCGGTCGAAAGAAGTGAAAGAAGACGAAAGGATCAGAATTTGAACATGAGTGACAAGAACTTGAAAAGAGGGGAAAAACGCCTTCCTTGTCAAATGCTGCAGGATTGCATACAGAGCTCGGGGACCTTCATGTTCCGCTGCCGACAGGTGTTACGATATGTCAGGAGTAGAGTGCTTATTAGTCAGGTGAGCTGACTAGCGTCCTATATATAAAAGAATAGCTAAGTGAGGAGCGTTCTCAGTTATGCTGCCTTTTTGGGCCGTTTAGCCCAGCAGCAACTATTGGTTCCTAACACGATATCAGTCAGTATCACGGTTGTAACAAGAGTATATCGTAATACAAATGGTAACGCCGCAGGGCACATAAAAAAAGTGTCAGTGATCACCTACGACTCAGCATCTCCGCGATACTTTTGGTTTTTGATTTGAAGAAAGCGAGGCCCGATAATGAATAAATGAATATAAACCCTTCTCAGCAACGCCTTGTTACTAGAGGGGGGCTACGATTCTTTACCTGTACGAGGTGCCCCCTACGAACCTTCAGTTCTCTTTCCTGCGGCAAAGAGAGTTTGGAGAGCCGAAATTAAATTAAAGTAGGCTTTCGTAGAGATTTTCCCTTGCCGACGATCCGAACGAGCCTTCTCTTACCTCGACCACTACGCCGATTACGATCTATACTTAACGAGCATACCGATTGAAAATACCAAGAGGATTTGCGATAGAAGGTGAACGAGGTGAAAGAGATAGAAAAGGATTCAAGACGATCTACGATATTGCGCCTTCGAAAAGGCCACCTAGCTGACTCCGGTCCGGCTTCGAATTTTCTCGACAATCGATACCGATATACGTTACTTACCCTGTAACTTGCTCTTTAAGTTTTTCCTTAGACGAAAATACTATATATTATATCCTTTTTGCGATCCATCCTATCCGTAAAAGAAGGGCACAATTGACAGCAGCTGCGCTATACTAATTTGAATTGCTTTTAAGGGTTACAAAGGTTATGTGATACCGCGGCATCAAGGACCCGGGGCTATTTAAAAGAGAGCTTTTCCTTAATATGATTCTTACTCTCGATTAGATAATACTTTATATATAATTTCTTTACTTAGCACGTCGCCGTACCTTATAAGAGGTCCTAAGGTCCAAGTATTGCGTTTTGGATACCCGCCCGACGTTAATAAATACAATAACAACAACAAAGCCTTGTTGCTAGATCCAATAGACGAAATATCCACAAGAAATTCATACACCCAGCTCCATCTAATGCAAAGAAAGGCGAAAATTCAGCGTTCATTATTGAACGAAGGATTCTTTGCGATTATAATTATGCATTGCAGTTACGGATTCCGCGCTTTATACAGTACCAGGCAACTGCTATTGGCCACTTAAGCGAGAACGTCAAAATAAATAATAAAAATTCAGCTATTACTTTTTAATTACGCAATAATTACAAATCTGAATTTAATAAAAAAAATACTGTTTTATTCGTCAAACTCCTTTCATTCTTTTCAATTCCTAAGCTAATTATTCGAAATTGCACGGACTTTGATACTTCGTATATTAGCTTTCGGCCGCGATATAAGCTTTAATCGTCGGCTCGCTTAGGTGGGCCTCCTTACATCCTTTCAGTTTTAGTCGGCGTAAGCGATTACGGATCGGAAGCGAGTCCGGATTGTTTGCGTTCTTTCAATGTTAAGAACTAGCGTACATATGCCAGAGGCATTTGGTTCTAGGAGATAGGCCATCATTTCGAAGGTCGTGGATTTGACGGGGTCGACGTTGCTCTGGATGGCGGCTTGGCGTTGGAGTCGTTGTAGGTCACTTGAATGACACAAGAAGGTCAGCATTCGAGTACTAAACCAGAGCCAGTAGATGGTGAATTATATCCTCTCGGAGAGTTTGGGAGAATTATTTCATTGTATTCAATTCTCACTGGGTGCGTTTCGACGTCGTCTGCGCCGACATCATGTTGCTGAGATGCGAGATAATCAACTCCAGGGCAGCTTTTACTCCCTTGCTGGATTTCCTCAGGTCACTTAGCATCGGTTTCTTCTTCTAGACCGATTCGGGATCCCTCATGTCAAATTCGGTCGTCGCGGATCACACGAACGGGTCAGCAACTGCCACAACAGAATTGGCGTGGAAAGTCACCAGAAACCATTGAACATTGTTTCAAATATAATACCTACAAGTACTTGATGTACACGTGTCTCATCGGAGCTGTAAAATTGCGGACTTTGACGGTGAGCACGTTGATCAGCTCTCGAGACAACTCGACCACATCCTTTTGGCTCATCAAGACCTGTAATTGCGGGATCATGGCTGAGATATCGGCTTCGAGAGATTCAATCTGATCAATATCGAGGCTCTCAAACACCTGCTTTAGGCTGTTTAGTTGAACCCAATTGCCGGACTTTCAGAGCAGGGAAGTAGCCGGTTTGGTGGTGAGCAGAGGGTCGAAGAACACCTTAGTAATGCGATCTATCGTTGCTGATTGCGGCCTATGGTCGTAGGTGAAGTATATCGTGTAGGTGTGTATTTGCGTGCTGCGTAGAGAAAGCCAGTTTTGGTATGAATTTGCGAATTGATCTATTTTTCGACGTTACAAAGTCTCACAGAAGTAGAGTCGCGTCGGATGAGGTTTCCTCGAAAGGCGACAAACAAGAAAGAAGGTGTAGTTCGAAGCCAATCTATATGGAAGGTATGATACACATTCAACATGTGACCGGGCTCTAACGTTGACTTACATTTGGCGCAGTGTTGGTGCTGGTTTTGATGCCTCTGTAGGTCATATCACCGTCAGTTGTTTAAAAAGAGTTTCATATTTCCAGCTTCGAGGGAACAAGATGATCAGAATATCTAAATAGCGATCAGAATAGCTATATAAAGACGGAGGTGAGACTAAAAAATTCCAAGACCTACTTTTTCATCGCGAGTTCGTAGAATATTTGCAAAGTTATATAATGACTAGAGCCTACCTTAAAGGCAGGTAAGGGGTCATTTGAGCGGTCCTCTGACCCTCTTTTATAAAAGACGGTTATTAGACCGCTTAAATTCAGTACTAAGCTCTTTTCAAGAATAGTTTACCGAGAAGACCGTCCTATTAAAAGAGACCGTTTTGTGGCCGTCTTACGGCCGTCTCCGTTTATATTTTTAAAATAAGCTTATTAATAAGCTCGTTTTAAAAAATTGAAATAGTTCGATAATCATCTTAAAGAAAATATAATTATAAATAAAAATCATTTCTTAACTAGAATCTTTCTTAAAACAATTTAATATATTCGATGCTAAGATATTTCTCGGTATCGCTGCCACGGCTTATATATCAACGCTTTAAATTTTCTATAATCGAAATCGGTCGATTCAGCAAAAGTTTCTCTGCACGACTCGCGCGCTTCCTCCGCTTGGTAAATAAGGGTGGTGTAGTAAGGAGGTGTAATAAAAGGGTTGTATACCTAATAGAAGGTAGACTGCTAAGTAATGAAAATAAAATCAAGATTATTTGCTTATTAATCTACGTTCCCCGAGACGGTTTCAAGTTCGGGGACGGCCTTAAGACGGCCTTAGAACGGCTATAAGACGGTCTTTTTGTAAAAAGACTGACTTTTTTAAAAGGATTTAATCAATCAAAACGGTCTTATTTTAGTAATAATCTTTTAACGAAAAGACGAGCTCTTATAAAAGACGATTTAATCGATTGAAATAGTTTCATTTGAATTATGATTTAAATAATTTAAATCATTTGCTTTCAAATTATATTCAATTTTAAGTATCGACCTAAGGTGATCTACTAACTATGCCAACCTCTTGAGATCGTCTTTTAAAGAGACCGTCATCGGATTATCAGCTGACGGTATAAATAACCCCCTATCTGCCTTTAAGGTATCTGGCTCGCAGACGCAAAGCCAAGTTGCACCACCAAAGTATTTTTGCAACTCTAAGTTGCGCGCCAAGATACAAGAATTAATTAATCTGTATAGCTCGTGCACGTAAACCTTGTAAAGTATGAATTTGACTTTGCAGATCGTACGTAGTTGCATCATATACGTAGTACTACGTAATCGTCGGCTCGCTTAGGTGGGCCTCCTAACGTCCTTTCAGTCTTAGTCGGCGTAAGCGATTGCGGATCGGAAGCGAACGCGGATTTTTTTATTTTACTGCTGGTTTTTGTATAAAAAATACAACTTACAATATTACCTTTAAATTTACAATCGCACAACTCAATTGTATTTTTTAATTAATTACAAGCCGAAAACGCATTTATACACCGATGGTTTGACATCTTAAATCGATGAAAAGCTTGCTGCTAAGCAGCAAGCTAAAAAAAATCTCAAATCTGCTGTAAAATAATAACGAATCGTCGACAAGCTTTGGGAAGAGGAAAGAGATGATGAGTATCGTAAAGGAGTCGATTTACGCAAAGCTAAGTGCGAGCGTGAAAGGATTATACGAGAACGCGTTGCTGCAGACTTAATTTTTAAAGACGACGATATAATACTTCTATTTTTCAGTTCGCAAAAGATTTGATAGTTGCAATAACCTTTTGAGCGTCAAATTTTGCGGCCTCGTCAAAAAGGTATTCTTCGACCAACTTTCTCTTCGCAATCGTAATATCGGTATGATCATCGCTACGATAGAAACATGCGCCGCTATTTGATATTACAGAAACAACTTCGCAGAGACATCGTATTTATTAAAGATAACAAGTCTTTAATAACCCCCCC